GTGTGTGTGTGTGTGTGTGTGTAACACGTCCACGTCCGTACCGACTGCCTGTAATTGGGGTAGTTCGTGGTTAGTTGCCAGGAGCTCAAGTGGCCAGTGACAACGTGTGGAGCGGGGGACGCCGTGCGGCCGGGGTGTGGCGGGGGGCACTGATTTTGGGGCTCGCGCATCGAGACCCGGAGGGTGGGGTTCGGCGATGACTGCGCCTTCTGGCTTGAGTTCGGTATTGATTTGGGGCGCAGCGATCGAGGGGCCATTTTGGGGGGCGGGGGGTGTCACTGTGCCCGTGTGTCTGGTCCGGATGGTGGTTGATGGGGCGGTGGCCAATGCGGTTGGTGTGGAGGTTTGGGGACGCTGGACCCTTGGGGACTCGGAGCCCCCCCGGGCCGGTGGGTGCGTTGAGCCTCGGCTGTTGAAATAGACTTCGTTTTAACTTCTCATCCCCTTCAACTCCTTGCTCCTTGACTCATTCTCCCTGTTAACACCCCGCATCACCCGGCCTGTTGAACTAGCGAAAGTTAAAAAAAAAAGATTGGAAGAAGCACTTATAGCAAGGGCTCCAGTAGAAAAGGTTTTGGAAATGGTGGCAACCTCTGTACAAATCTGCTTGATACAGTGGATGCCTGGAATGTTATAAGAACTGTAAGAGCCCCCAATAAAAATGATGACCAAAAAAAAAAAGAATTGGAGAAATGAACGACTCAGCATATCTATAATGAACCAGCATTCTCTTTGCGATGCAGTTTTTAATTGCTTCCTGCAGTCTCGCTGCATACTTCTTTGCATCTTTTCTTTGGGGTTTCATATGTGAGTGTGTAACGGTTGCTCGCTCACTCCCCGGGATTTGCTTTTTTTTTTAGGATTTGCATTTTTAAAAATCAGTTGTCAATTTTATCCTTGTAGGAATGCTTGTAAAGCCATGCACTTACACTAAATATTTGACAGAAGTAATTTTATCTTAAGTGGGATTTCGGATGTTGTGGTGGTCTCAGATTTAAAATGTATTATGACTGTATGAAAATCTATTGAGGAAAGTAATAATGACCTGTCATCACCATTAACGTTTTGCTGTGGATCTCTCGGTGTGTGTTAGGGTGGATAACATAAAGATACATTGTCTTTTTGGAGAAGAAAAATAGACTTTTGCTTTGCAGAACATGGAGTAACTTTAATCACTAAATGGAAATGGGCAATTTTAATAGTTACATAGTGTTGAACGTATGCATTCACTCAACTGTTGTGTAGCTTTTAGTTACTGTTGAGTTTTACTCTTTGGTGTTTTTTTTTTGCTTTTGTTTTTATTTTTTAATACTCTGACTCTTGATGCTCCTATGCTAACTCAGAACTGTGCACCCTAATAGGGCTTTCAAACTGGTTGGGCTTGAACTGCTAAACTTTGGGCTAGGGCCTCTTAAATCTTCTCGAAGGTACATACCTATGTGATGCTTTACATATCCATTTCCCCACCTTTGCCATTATTCCCTTCGCAGAAAGCCCTGCAAGTGGAGTTTTGGGTAACCAATGTGGTTTCTCAACAGAAGCAATTATTCCCAAGAAAAGGGTTTTGTGTGTTTGGGTGGATAACAATGACTCTAACAGTGACTCATTCTTGCTTTATAGAATCTACCAATTTTTTATGTTTAAATTTTGTAATTACCAACCTGACTAAAAAGGCATATTGAGATAGTTTATTGTGCCAACCTGGCCGATAAAC